CTTCCAAAAAAAATGTTATTTCTGTGTAGTATTATTCACTTTTAAGTTTTTATTTTTTTTTATTTTTTTTTTTTTAAAGATTTTATTTATTTATTCACGATAGTCACACAGAGAGAGACACAGGCAGAGGGAGAAGCAGGCTCCATGCACCGGGAGCCCGACGTGGGACTCGATCCCTGGTCTCCAGGATCGCGCCCTGGGCCAAAGGCAGGCGCCAAACCGCTGCACCACCCAGGGATCCCACTTTTAAGTTTTTAAAAAAAAGTTTTAAGCCATTCTTCTGAATTTACTGAATACATTTTTTCCTAATCCAACAGATCATAAAAAAAGTTGACTTTAAAAATGCTTGGAATCCCAACTGATTTTACACCTAATGACAGGGATAATCAACAGACTCTTCATTACTTTCATTCTTTTTCTATGACTTCCTAGAGTAAGAAGCCCTAGTACTTCCAAGTAAAGAGTTTGAAAACAACCATCTTACGCCATGCTGCTTTCCAGTGGAAAAGACCATATCACTCCCTTGCTTCAAATCCATCTGCAGAGTTGCTTCTTCCAGGAAGCCAATCATGAGCCTCCTAGGCCTTGACAATGAAAAAGACAAGGGTTGGAGTGCTCCTCAATCTACTGAACTGATGCTAATTAAAATTACCTCCAATAATGCAAAATTTTAAAACTAGACATTCTCTCAAAAATTTAGGGCATTAGAAAACTATTTTGTTAACTTATTTTTACCACTAGACCATGGTGTATGCCTGCAATCATAACTATGCAGGAGGCTGAGGCCAGGGATAACGTGAAATCAAGAATTTTGAATTTTCCAAAGACTGAATTTGCACATACAGTTCTACATTATTATATTCCTTGCCTACTACTTTGCCTAGGGAGAGTTAAACTAACCAGTTAAAAAATGTAGATGCTAAATACCATTACTGCAATACTACGTGAAAAAGAATTAAAAATACAATTAATTCCTTCTTCATTCACTAGGTTCAATCCAAGTGAAAGGAGACTTGTAGGAAAGGATAAAAAATACAAGGATTATCAAAAGTAGATTCTTTCCAGTTACTCTGCTTAGCTCCTTGAATTGAAACAAAACAAATACAAAAAGAGACAAATATCAATCTACTGCCTATTCATTTATGATGTGCTAATGCTAGTCATTATCCTAAGAGTTCTATATTTATATTGTTTGACTCATTTAATCCCCACGAAATTCCTAAGATACAGGTCCTATTACTTTCCTCGTCTGATGAGAAAAATGAATTGTGGAAATAACTTATATAGGGTAACATAGCTAATAAATAAGAGAGACATGCTTTTAATCCAGGCAGTATAACTTGATAACCTGTGCTCCTAATCTGTGATATTAATTTTTTTTTAAGATTTTATTTATTTATTCATGAGAGACACAGAGAGAGAGAGAGAGGGAGAGACACAGGCAGAGGGAGAAGCAGGCTCCATGCAGGGAGCCCCATGTGGGACTCGATCCTGGGTCTCCAGGATCACACCCTTGGCGGAAGGCGGTGCTAAACCGCTGAGCCACCCGGGCTGCCCTGTGTTATTAACTTTTAATGTGTTATTTTCTTTCTTCTTGCTATACTATAGTTTTCAGACTGTTCCTTAGAGTCCTGGGATCCCATGAGAATGCTTCTGGGGCTATTAAGGAAAGTAAGAGAAAGCAGATGGGACTTTAAACCCTTTACCCAACCAAAGCAACTTCACTACATCTGTTAAATATTGAGGATAAAATTAAACTTTTCATAGTAATAATTTTTTAAAAAGTCTTTCATATTAAAAGGCAAAAATATGAAAATCACAGTATCTAAACGATAATCTTCATGAGGTCAGGATCTATGTACAGAAGTATCTTATGTTTGATATTCAATAATAACTTGATAAAACCATAAGGCAGTACGAATCTCAAAAATATGTAATATTCATACCATTACTGAGAAAATCTTGCATATAAATATAATTAAATAATAACATTAATACACAACCAGCTTGGTGCCACTTGGTTTTTAATCATAAGCAATCAAAAGATTTCTTTACCTCAAGGCTCTTGATGGGTTAGTAAGCATAATCCATTCTCATATGCAAAAAAAGAGGTATGCTTTCCACATTTTTTTAGCTATATCAATAATCATACTGCCTGAGGTGCTAAAATATCTATGAATTTTTTAGGATTACTGAATATAAGAAATTACACTGAAATTCAAATTATCAGTAGAAATACTGTAATATTTTCTGAAGTTCATGAATTGTCTTCAATTTCACAGAAGTTATAAGGAAACTTGAAAAAAAAAAGGATAATTGAGGAAACTATCTAAAAAACTTACTTAAAAAAATCTAGTCTATTAGTTATCTTTTAACCCCTTTCATCTGTGGGCCTACAACTTACATGCATGTTCATAAAACAGAGATAAAGGCTACCGACATAATTTTGTATTCCCTTTAATGGTGAGTTTTCAGCTTGAGAGTGAACATCCAAATCAATCAAAAATCATAGAAGCTTTAAGAAAATAAAACTGAAGTATTAGCTTTTCTAATTGTGGATTAGAATGAAAAGAAGTAGCAAAAATAAAAACTCATTTTTTTCTCTTGCCGAAACTGAAAGGAGATTTTTATTTTACAGAAAGTATAGTCTCCAGCCAAGACACAGATATGAAATATTATCCAGTGCTTAAAATTTAAACATCCCTGAATTTTCATCAAAAATTTTTCTTACTTTATGATTATTACCAGAAAGTAACAAACTATCACACTAACAAACCTCACCCTCATGGCTCTAATTTCAGTTGAAATGAAACATGTGAAGGTGATATATATTGAGAGGGTTAGCATTAGATCTACCAATTTATTGTACTAACACTGATTTCAAGTGAGGCAAAAACTAATAGAATGAAGTTTCTGATACCTTAAACATATATAAGAAAGTTCAACAAACGCCAAATCTAGCTCAAGTAAATGATTAGAAGATTTAATTTTAATACTCATTTTAAAGAAATTATAGTTAACCATCTGGAGACAAAACACTAAATAAGACTGTATCAGAGGCATAGGAAACTAGAACATAATAATCCCTTAGAAGGAATTCAGTTTCAGTTTCAGGAATTCAGGAATTCAGTGAAAGCCAGAGCCACTTCTGAATGATTAGCATGAACACTAACTCCTGTTCTTTCTGACAGACTCAAATTTTTAATACCTATGTTGTTATTTTCTTAATCCTTATAAGAAAGTACCAAGATTGATTTTAGATTAAAAAGTAAAAACTTCTCAAGCTTTATCAAGTGTCTAGAACCAAAATAATTTTGGCAGTGTCAAGATAGGAGTTATCTAAAAATTAATATGACTTGATGATACAAGAAGACAGTTTTCTGCTATAATGTAACCATTTATATAAAACATTTTCCAGAGATGGTACTAAAGATGATTTTCAGTGGTTAGATAGAATAGTCCAACAGATATCCAAATAAAATTACAATTGTTTGGCCTGTTCCTATCTCTGAAAGCTCAGCACTCACACAGCTTATTATCTAAATAGTTGGCAGAGTAATAATATGTTTTGGCTTGCTCTTCTCAGAGGAGTTCCTTTTCTCTTCTCCCAGAAAAATAAAGATTAAAAATTTAAATGTTTATTTAACCTGCACTAGGATCCTAGAAAAAAAATAATTTTAAATAAAATAATTCATATTAAAGCATAAGTAACACTAGTGTGATTAAAGTTTTAAAGAAGAGTTTATCAACCTTACACTGTATCTGCTTAAGTGGAAAGACTATTTTCTGAGTGGCTCAACTCTAAACCAAGAAATCAGAAATTAAGTAATTATGTCCCCATTTTTAAAAGATTGCCAATTCCTGGTCTAGACAATTATGACAATTCTGATTTTCCAAGAATACTGTAAAGACAATGGTTAATTTAGGAGACAAAGAGATTAATGCCTTGTGCAAAAGGAATTATTTAGAATCTTGGATGGTGAAGAGTCCAATACTATTCTTAGATAGTGAAAAAGACTTGTTACAATGTCCTTAATTAAGGCATACTCTGTATTTAATCTATTATCTTTGGAAGATGCCTCCTGGGCATAGGAAACTCAGTATTAAAATATGAATAAAGAACAGAAAATTACAGATTTAAAAGTAATATTTTAGAATTTGCAAAAAATCAAAAACCCTCCAAAACAAAAGGACCAAAACAACAACAAAAAAAAGGTTAAAACTGAAATATCAAAAATAGTATATCATTATTTTGGGCTTTCTGAAATGCAGAATTTTATTTATAAAAGGGAAATGAAATAACCATCTCTAATTTTATAAATAGTGACAGTGATATAAAAAAAAATACAGATCTCATTACTTCAAAGTCAATCAAAGACATATTCAACAAGCTAGAAGAGGGTATAGATAGAGTAGGAAGAAAAGGGAAGCTCCATGGAGAAACAAAGGGAAAAAAGGGGCAGTGATCAATTATATCCCCAAATTAAAAAGATCTTAAAGAGAAAGTGAATTGTTAAAATATGTATGCAAAAGGAAGTATAAAATTTTCTCAATTAAAAAAAATCTTAATTTCTCACTAGGGTTAAAAAAGAAGATAAAATAAATTTAGAGTTAGAAAACCAATGACCATAAAAGATTTATTCTCTAACATTTCGATCAATGTCCAAAAAAAACATGACACTTCTACTGAAAATATAAAGGAGAGATCTCACTTGGTTTCTTTTTCTTTTCAGAGCCTAGGTTTTCTGTTTGAAATTATATTTTTGTGTGACATGATAATCTTCTACCATGTGGTAATCAATCATATGCTGCCTGAGGAACATGATAATGATATTCTATTAGCACTAGAATGAATGAATCAAACATGCATGTTTACATCTTCCATGAAAATATAAACTCTCAAAATATATATAATACTCATGTTCTGATATGTAAAACTCTACTTTTCTTTTATTGCTGATTTCCATGAAACATAGGAGTTTCACTTTGGAAAGACCTACCTGAATAGCTGAGTTCATGAAACACGTATTTCCCAAGTTACTTAGGCCACAGAGGCCTGGCTGTTCATTGTTTCTGCCAGGTTCTGAATAATCATAGTTCTTATAAGCAGTATATGATGGGAGACAATAATTTGAGTTTTTCACACTGGAAGAAAACAAAGAATATTTTTCATAATGCAGCTAATTATTACAATATAGTTCTATGAACAGAGTACTTCAAACCTATTTGAGATAGGTGGTCAGTCATTAAACTTTATTTAAAAAATTAACTTGTACTTTTAAAGATATGAACCTAAATTAAAATAGCCCCTTTAATTAAGATACTGCTCATCCACTTAGCAAAATCACTGCATACATATGCCACACCGACCAATACAAACCACTATTATATCTTTCTACCCTTGATTGGCTGGAGCAACTCCACAGCTTGCTCCATTCTTCATTGCTCCATCAAATTTAAGACATTCAGATTTTAAACACCACCCGCAGCAATAAATCATCTCATTTATGTCCCGTTCACATCCTGCTACTGTAATGCTACGAGAACAGTAGAAACGGGAGGAGTTGTACTTTAGGTACAGGTAAGAGCAGATTTCCAAGGCCTCTGTGACATCACTGGTCTGATGCATTGAAGATTCTATTTATAGTTTCCACGCTAGACCAGCAAAATCCAGTATTCAAATGCGGAAAAAAGTCCGGGGTTATCAGGGCTGCAAAAATGAAATGATTCTAAGCAATACACTCCAGTATTTGCCCTTTCCTTCTTTTAGTTTGTTAGAATAATGTACTTTATTTACCCTAGATGAATATAACCTTAGGATAATTTGGACTATCAGCATAATAAATATTAATCTTAAAAAAAGCTATATAATCTTCAACCTTAGAGAATCGGAGTAATTTTAGAAAGATGTAAAGTCAATCAGTAAGTTAAATTGTCCCACTTTCTTTTTACATGTGATAAAAAAATAATTTTGTGGAAAAGGATGGATTCTCCCTTCATTTTTAATAGGTTATCTTATAAAATATTTACAATGGACACTTTAGATATAATTCAAAAGCATACCATTTCAAAACAAAAAAAAAGTCACTTTTTTTTTCATTTTTTAAATTCATTAGAAAAAACCTGAACGAGAATCAAGGTCAAACCTAAAATCAAATCATGATTCAAATAAAAGAATATAATGTTATAAATAAACATGATGAATCAGTAACCCTGATAATTTCAACTGGCTACTATTTATTCATGGTATTCTTTTTTAAAAGTAATTTTTACTTTTAATTTCCAATACTTTCTATTGTAGCTTCTAGACTTTCCCTTTATAACAGTTTAAGTGAACTGCTTACTGCCTGTTGTAACAAAGCCTTTAGTAAACACACACACAACACACACACACATATCCCCCAACAAGCTACACAGGTAAAACAAAACTACCTCAACTCAAACTACACACACAATGCTAACCTACTAATATTTTTACATTTTTAAGAACATATTCCCCCCTCAAAAAAAGACCAGTTTCCAGACTCAAAAAAGCAAAACATCCTGATACTTAAAAAAAGAAAAGAAATGAAAAACAGGAGAGCCCAAAGAAATGCAATCTAGATCAATTCAAGAATTTCCAGACTTTTCACTATATTTGTCTTAAAAAAAAAAAAAAAAAGAAGTATAAAATAAAAAATAGAATTCAGCATCTTTTGTTTTGGCATATCACTAACTTTATGATTCATATTTTATATTCCCAGTAACTAATAAAGTGCAAGACAATTATTAGCAATTCAATATATGTTCACTCAGTGATTAATAACTAGATTCTTAAAAAAAATAACTGGATTCTTGAATCTTAACTTTGAGGACATGTAACAAATAGCTAAATGCTGTTTTTCCTTTATTCCTGTAAGAAGTGCTAAAAATCAAAGTCTCTACATACAAAAATGAAAGGTCTATATTTTCTACACATTCTACATGTTCAAAAAAAACCCACACATATCCCGGATATAAAATTGAAATAAAATTTGAGAGAATATACAGGGAAAGCATGCTCAAATACATGCTCATGCCTAGACACACATACACACGCACACACACACAAGTGAAAAGACTAAAAAAGCACATTTACATGCTTATTCTTTAGGTATATATTCAGGTAATCTGTCTCTGCCACAAGTAACACAAATAAATGGATGCTGGAAGGTCTCCTCTTTCTTAGTGGGAACAGGATGGAACTTGCCGGGATAGGAATTTTTATTTACTGAGAAATCAACAAAAACTTCCTTGCCAAAGCCGTTTTTTTGGTCTTTTAAAATTTTAATCTTAAAGTATATCTACATTTCAGTTTAAGTGACAAAGCATAAGCCTTGCCCAAAGACTCAGTCTAGATGTTCAATGATAATAATGAAAACTGATAAAATATTTTAATACTACATTGATTGGTCACTTACAACCCACATAATGTGCTTCCTAAATCAAATATTAAAGTAAGTAATGGAAAATACCCAAACCAGCAGTTCTTGAAGGCTTCAACAAAGTACATGGAAACCTAGATCTATGACTATTTTCTTCCTAGTCCTTATCCTCTATGGCTGTGCTATTTTGCAAAAATAAAGAAGTCTGACTGTAATCCTAATGAGAATTTTAGTATTATACTACATTAATTCTGTATTATATATAAATCTATCACTCTAAATGAAGATACATTGAAAAACATAACTTATTTTTTGGTAAAAGTGAGCCCTTATCCTTCTATAGACATTTCAGATTGACTTTTCAATTAGCACTTACATTTGACATTATAAGTATTATAAATTTATAATTTAATCTTTGTAACTATGATTATGTTCATTTCGCAGTTAATGAATGACGCTTTCAGCAAGTAATTTGTAAAGAGCCATATGGCTGGCTAGCTCTGGCAGGCTTTTTTACAGTTTAATCTCTTACAGGGAGTCATTTCCATTTCAAATAAAAGAGCTTTAAATGAATTAACATAAAAATAGAAATGTGCTCTGATGTGGAATGCCAAGATTTGTGACAATACATACATTAAAAAGATTTTTTAAAGGCAGTGTTATATCAAAGCAAACATAGCCAAGACAGAAAAATGCAGAGAACAGGAAGAAAGAAATTGGCACATATTAAAAATGAATTTAAATTACAATCGAGGCAAAAACAAATACTGTATAGACTAGCAGGTAAAATTACTACATCAAGGCAAACAACTGATTCTTCATAATATTAGTCTTTAATAAAAACTTTATTAGATTTATATGAAACAGTTTCAAGTATGCTTTGTGTTACTATGTTTATGACTAATATCCTTATTTCTAGAACCGAGAACTTTTTATTTTACTAATGTATCAGTTTAATTCAAGTCTTGAATTTGTTGGCAACTTCATATAAACTTGTAAGTTAAAACTACTTATTTTAGCATATACTTTGGTAATTGTAGAAAAATTCCACATAACATGAAGTTTCAAAAATGCACTTAATTTAAAAATTGTTACTATCCATTTTACATACTTTCAATTAAAGAAACTATGCGATTTCCATACGAAGTCTTAAGCTCCTACTTATTTGTACAAGTTGAACGAAAAAAATAAATTTTATGAGAAATAATCTAATTATTATTATATTAATTCAAACTCTAATTCAAATTCAAAATAATTAAAATATTAATTCAAGTTCAAGTAAAAAAAAACTTTCTATTTTACAAATGTTTAAATTTTGTGACTAAGAAAGGTAAGCTTTACTTTTAAAGTTTTACTTTTATCCATGGTGGTACTTCAGTAGCCATTTCCTATAAAAAATTTCCTAATATGAAAGGACTATTTTAGTGCCTAAAATAAACATAAATAGCTAAAAATATAATCCAGTCATAGAAGTAGAATCATTAAACATACTTCAAATTTAAGAAAATATTCCAATTCCTCTCAGTATCTTTTGCAGTCAGAGGTTTTAAGATCTGATTATACCATGATATTTTTACTAGACAAAAACAGAAACACACCAGACCACATATACTAATATGAAGACTCCAGTCAAAAGGTCAAAATACAGTCTATGTTCAATACAGTCTACATTCAATGTTAAAAAAAAATCTCTCCAAAGAATAACTATAAATACATTGTTATACCTGGAACTGAATTCTTTATAGTAAATGTGGGAGCATCTGCAATTGGTAGAAACACAAGAGTATTTTATCTACTATGAAAAAATTATTTTTGATGAATTTAATTAAAAGATACCATATAAAATACAAACCAGATTATAGGAGTATTTCCTTTCACTTTTCTGCCTGGGGACATACATTTTTAAATAGAAAAGAATATACTACAATGCAATTTCGGATATTCATAGTGTCTTTAATATTTCACTGTTACATTATAATGTAATTATGGTATACATGTTCTTTTATAAATTACTAAAATAAGGAAATTAATGTTTTAAATCTTCTTGATACATATGGCAAATTCTTTTCTAGAAGAGTTGGACTAATACTCCAACCACTCAAATGAAATCCTTGCAAGAGTAAGTATTGTTACTTAATATTTCCCAGTGACACTGAAGTGGAGAGAAGTGGATGGAGTTTTTTACGGTTTTAATTTACCCATCTCTAGTTAGTTGTGAATTTGAGTATTTAAAATGTTTATATATGTAATTATTTTGCTTTTATTGTCAGCTGTATCATTTACTCATTTTTCTACTTGCTTTAGAAAATTTCTCACTGATCTTTAGGACATTGATATATTAAGTATTTATCTATTTGTGATTTGTGGCAAGTATTTTTTTCAATTTATTCACCTTTTAATTTTTTTTTAACTTTTATATGCCTAACAATTAAAAAGTCAATATAATATAAAATTTTAAAGAGAAATTCTCAATAGTGATCCAATTTTCCGATCATTTCCTTGATAGTCTTTTCATTCTCCATTAGTCAACAATGTTATCTGATCACATTAAATTCTTTTGTATAAACGGCTGTTTCTGGACTGTCTTTTCTATTTCACTGATCTGTAGATGTATTCTTGGGTCACTACTATGCTGTTTGAACTCTTAAATCTTTACAACAGATTGCGATATTTAGTAGGGTGAATACTTTTTCATTTTCCTTTCCAAAAATTATTTCAGTTAGCCTTATATATTTATAATCTAGATGTATATTAAAATAACTTTGTCAAGCCCTCTCCCCACCCCAGATATGAATTTTAAGGGAAGATTAATTAAAACCTATAAATTCAATTAATGATGTTATTTTAAAAATTATTTCACAAATAGCCTTTGCTTTTTCAAATTTACTCTTTGGGGAATCAGATGCCACTTATGAACTGGACAAGTAGTGCAAATATTTAACTACATACAGTTAACCTAAAAAAATAAACCACAATGTAATGTATACATTCAAGAAATAGCAAAAGGGTAATTGTCTCTAGATTAAGGTTCTTCCCATAATTTGGACTAATTACAAGTAATAAAAGCTTTCATTTTATCCTTTCCTATAAAATAAAAAGCCATGACAATTTTCAAGGTAATAAGCCCACGTCAGACTGTAATAGAGATGCCCAAGTGATTTTTAACCTTTTTTCTTATGGCAAGATAGCATACACTTTCGTGTTACTTTCATAAATTCAAAGATACTGAATATTATTCATGATGGGGCAAAGGAATTACTCCTCTGTTATAAAGAAAAAATGATTGCCTTCTTGATAAATGTAAAAATTGGTGTATGCTTTCCAGGTGAGAATCACTGATACATATTTTTTAAAAACACTACATATTGTAGGTGATTTTATGTCTAGTTCTCAAATGACATCTGAAATTTATACTCGTCCTAAAAAATTGAGTTCTAACAGACTTCTACACATATTTTCAATAATTAGTGTTTAAAATGTAAAATTCTGAAACTACTTTATTTCTCTTTTAGTGAATTAATATCTTATGTATTAAATCAAGAAGTTTATAACTGTGCTTTCTTGTAAAGTTACTCCTAGAAGAACTGGTCAGTAATTTAAAAAAAAATCAATTTTAATGCATTAAGACTTTTATTCTAAGTTTTAGATACAAGAGATTTTTTGCAACCACAATAGGGCGATCAATTAAACAAAGAGTTTTTAAGATTCAGTGCTTACTTTCTGTTGTTGATGTTGTTATAATTATTTGATAGAGATGAAGGAGAGATCTTTGGTAAAGCTGAAAAATTGGATGCACCTGGGGACCTTTAAAAATATGAAAATGTTAAATTAGATAAAAAATGCTGAATTTTGAAATTAATTATGAAATAAAGAAAGAACAGATGACAATGTATGTAGTAAATGAATGCTGGAAAACAGATTCATGAGCAAATTCACTATATATCCTTTGCTTTTCTATTTCCTATGTATTTTTTTCATATAAAAAATAATGGTACAAAAGGGAACTGTTTTCAAAGGAAATTTATCAAACTAAATATACAATTTGGTATTTTATTATTTCTACAAATCTACTGACTCAATACATCGATTTCTGAGTTCAGATAACCACTTTAAATATTTACAAATAATGATTACCTTCAACTGGTAGAACGAAAATATCAATTTTTTTAAGGAAGCGTGTAAAGGAAATCCAACTTGTATCTCAGTAGGAACCTACTTCTACACAACAGTAGAGATCCAACAACAGAGATCCAACGATTTACCAATTCTTTAAAATGTAAGGCAACACTTCTACTTCTACACAACAGTGACACAGAGATCCAACGATTTACCAATTCTTTAAAATGTAAGGCAACAGGGATACAATAGCATAAAAGAATTCAAAACAAAATTCCGAGAAGTTATTTTTTGGCCAAAGTTATCTCTATAAAAACTGGAAAAAAAAAAAACATACATCTGACTATGTATTACACACCTCACTACTTCAGAATCCGTTTGGAGAAATCTCAATTACTAATGGCTTTTAATCAACCGATATGCTTTAAGGGCATGATTTATAATCAATTAAATACTTAAAGGTCTCTTAAAGATTTAATTTCCCTTGTAATTTTGTAAACAATTTTAATTTACTCGGCAACACCTAGCCCATGAGCTATAAAAATTGTCAGCATTTCATTCATCATAAATTCTAAGTGAGGCCCAAAGTGGTTAGTTTTTAGTAATTATTTTCTTTAATCAAGTGCTAATGAACAATGAATTGGTAAATGGGCAGGAAAGTAAAATCCACAAAATCTGCCTGGTCTACAAATTTTAGATGATTTAGATTTCACCTAATCTATACACTTGCAATGCATTAAGCAGAATACATGGTGGGCAAAAAAATTTCTTAAACATAAACATTTTTATTGAACTTTAAAAATTTTATATATTATGAAATCTTGGTAAAAATTTATTTTAAGAGTTTCTTTTTGTTGATACAAGTTGTGTAAGGTAGATTATATTAAGTAAAACCTCTATTTAGATGCCTTTCTGACAGAAGACTTTACAAGATATTATTTCACTCTACTAAGTTCAAAACATAAAACACAGTCAACCAACTTTTTAATATAAAACAATGTAGAGGACACATTTAAAAGGTTATCTTAATATTTTAAGGTACTAGTTTTTAAATATTAATAAAAATATAGAAGTATCCTGGCATTTTTGCCTTCATGTTAAGAATGTTAAATTAGCAAAGAAAAAAGGGGCGCCCAGGTGGCTCAGCAGTTGGGCATCTGCCTTCAGCCCAGGGCGTGATCCTGGAGACCCGGGATCGAGTCCTGCATCGGGCTCCCTGCATGGAGCCTGCTTCTCCACCCTCTTCCTATGTTTCTGCCTCTCTCTGTGTGTCTCTCATGAATAAATAAAATCTTTATTTTATATTTTTAAGATTATTTATTCATGAGAGAGAGAGTGAGCGAGAGGCAGAGACTCAGGCAGAGGGAGAAGCAGTGATCAACAAAAAATGGAATCCTGGAAATCCTGACTTTGCCACCGTGAAGCTTGATAGCTTTTCACTACTTAAAGACTTTCCTCGTAAGATTGGTGATGCTTTAACAAATGTGATTTAAAAATACTGTATGACGAATTATGTCAATATTTAGAATATCTGCATAACTCCGTGAATCAGTATTTTCCAACTGCATCAAGTTACACATAATAAATTTTAACACAATAGTTTTATAAAAAGTTCACTGATATAGTTTCAGATTCCACACTGCAATTACTTTTTCATCATTAAGCCACCACTGGTCAAGTTCTGATGTGGTATTAATTATCTGCAAATACTTCTCTGTGTTCTAACTACATATCTGTGAGGCTGAGTTTTCTTTATATACTTCAATCCAAACAATGTATCACAATAAACAAAAACAAATGAAAATTTAGCTATCTTCTGTTTAGTCAGATATTAAAGAAATTTCAAAAATGTAAAACAGTTCTACTCTTTTCAGTACATCATTTTGTCTTAAAGGTTATTTTTCATAAAAATATTATTTATGTCAAAATAGAATGGTTTTAATACTGTTATTTATAACTAAATATGTAAAAGTTTGATTTCTAATCCACTTTTATAAAGTTCTTTGTGTCCTTAATAATTTTTAAGAATGTCTCACTCTCTATCTCAAGTAAGTTAACAAGTCTTTTTAAAAAATAACTTTAACAACGTAAAGGGGTACACTCAAGATCAGTACATCTGAAAACTTCAGGCTTAGGAGGTAGCAACTGCAAGACTGCTAACTAATTAGATGAAAAGAATGAAGTTGAAGGAAGAACTCAAGATAGCTCTGAAAGGATACCTGAAATAGGAAATAGGACATAGATATAGATTAGGTTGAGGGAATGGGAGAAGATAAGGTAAGATTTTAGTTGAATCTTACATGGCAAATCCTACATGATATTTAGAAAAAAATCCAGAATTCAGAAGAGAGTTCTGGGCTAGAAAAATAGTGGCATATTTCTGTCAGTTTGAGCTGAGGAAAAGAATTAGCATACAGTTCATCCACTGATTTTGAGAATGTATTATGGTATGAAAGGAGAAGTCATCAGATGGAAATTTGTGAAATATTAATGCATTTAAGTTGTAAGCAAAGCTGCTGCATGTAGGCAGCGAAGCTGTATACTGCCCAGTACCAAGGAGGTCCTTTCATATAGATTACAAATGTGGAAAATGCCCAAGAACTGTGCAGTACATAACCCAACAAGCAAATATGGCAGTCCTGGAGAGAAAGAGTACCAGCCAGCCAGAGAATTTGTTAGAGAAGTGAAAACAATTCTTGAATCATGGATTTAAATCAAGAAAGGAGACAGTTAACAAAAAGTAGTATTAAAGGAAGGTCAAATAAACTGGGATACAAAAAGGTCAAATAAGGACTTTGTTAAATCCTGAATGGGTGGTAAGAAATAATAAGTACTGCCTTTTTAAAGTTGGCTGTCAAAAAGAAAAAAAAAAACCCTAAAGAATGGTATTTGGAGGACGTATGGGTTTTTTTGTTTTTGTTTTTGTTTTTAAAGACACGACTAGAAGGCACCTGGATGGCTCAGTGGTTGAGCATCTGCCTTTGGCTTAGGTCATGGTCCTGGGATTGTGGGATTGAGTCCCACCCACATCAGGCTCCATCAGCCTACGTGTCTGTCTCTGTGTGTCTCTTATGAATAACATCTTTAAAAATAAAATAAAATAAAGACAGACTTAGATTTATAGGCTGGGGGGGGGGAGATGACACTGGAAAAGAAAGAAAAGGAATGAATTACTGTTAAGTGAGTGTCTACTCTATGTTTGGCAGTATGCTAGGCATTTAAATATATATATAAGTAGAAGGAAGGAGATAATGAAAGAAAAAGCAAGTTCTAAGAAGCACTGAGATAAGTAACACTGGTAAAGACTGTCCTTTATAGCACAATGATCCAAAAGAGAAGGATGGATATGGTCCACAGGTAAAGCTGAAGTATTAATATTAAGACTTTTTAAATGCTGTTATAGACATTACGGATGAATGTTAACAGATCACTATCTATTCTGATTCCAACTACTGACCTAGATAACAGTTCATAGCCCAATGTTAGCTAACAATTGTGGAGTTAACTTAGGGGTTGACTAGTCAGTCTGTGGATTATAACCTGAGCCTTTTAGTTCTATTTCTTTGAAGTAATTTAGAAATTACACAGTTCTCAGCAACTCTGCTCTAGTGGTTTTTTAAAGAGAGGGGAGAAAAAAATGACTCAGATACTAAGCCAGTTACCTAGTGTTAACTAATTTGGGCTAAGTATAAGGTAGGGATCGAGATCCATCTCTTAAGACAGAAAACAGCAAAACATCAATGGCTGATATTATTTCATGAAGGCAAAAAATCAAACTTCATGCCAGACAAATACAGTATCTGAATTGCCCTATTTCCGTTTCAAGTAAATGCATACAATTCAAGGCTGTAAGTTGAACGTTTTGATTCAACAGAAAAATACAACTTGATAAATTAACTGAATATTCTTGATAAATTAACTGAATAGTTAACTTACATGAAAACCTAATACCATACTGAGCAGCCAAAATACAAATGTTAAGTCTGAATGCTGACACAGTAAAACAAAGATGTGTATAGGTATTTTCAAATCTGACATACAACCACCTAATGTTGTGAAATCTAACACTATAAAACAAGAATTATCTTATTAAGAAAAACGAGACCAACCTTAAACTCTACCCATGTTTAAAAGGTAAGTTCTTAAAGAAAAATTTAAATCTCTTTAAAAATTAAGCACTTTTACTTTTGTGAGATTAGACATTAGTTCAACAAGCATTTGCTGTGTGCCCATGTTAGCTATTTACAGATAAATGAGAGTTTAAGAGAATTTATATATAAATTGCTTCTCATAACTTTATTTTTGTTCATTTTGACTATTATTAATGATAGATGTAACATAAATCATTCCACTTAAAAAAAAAACTTTTCTTTAGCCATTATGAATCCCAGCACCAAAACTGCAATACATTTTTATTTTTATGTTCAACTTCTAGAAATTTCCAAACAGGCAAAAATCCTCATGTACCCAGTACCAAACTCTCAACTTCAAAAATTAACATCTTGCCACTTTGGCTTTATCCTTATCCCCTCAACTTCCCTTCCTCCATGTTTTACTGGACCATTTTAAAACAAATCTAAGACATTCATAATTTCACCTGTATATATACAATGGAATATTAGTCATAAAAAGAATGAAATCTTGCCATTTGGAACAATGTGGATGGAGCTAGAGTGTATAATGCTAAG